ATAAAATTATGTACAGATGTGTAATATGTTACAGGAATTAATATATAGCATAATATATCAAATTTCTTGGGTTTTTAATAATTATAACCTGTTTCTAAGCTTCTACCTTTACTCTCATTGTACTATTTTTATTCGGTTATCTTTTTTTATGAACATAGAACTAATAAATATTTTCTTTGTATAGGTATGTATTGAAGGAGGCAGATACAACTCTGGAATCATAAGCGGGGAGCACACACTCTTGCATAAGCGCATAAGCATATGCATAAGAAATTCGATTGGTTGAATTCTTGTGCATACGTTTATAGACCAATCAAGATTCTTATGCTTACGCTTATGCGCTTATGCAAAAGTGTGTGCTCCCCGCTTAAGAGAAACAAGATAAAATTATAATCATACAGCATTCAAAACCATTACCAGGAACACATCAATATCCATGCTCAATTTTGTATATACATAAATAAAAAGTAAAATAATAAAAAATCAGGATATTAATAAAAGCAAAATAATACTTACTTAATTTTTTATTAATTTTTTGCCGGTTTTTTTCTCCTTTTAGTTGCAGCTATTTAAATTAGGCGCGCATTGTCCCGCATAAAAAAGAATCGATTAAATCGATTTATTTGGCAAAATATCGATTTTGAAACATCGATTTTATTTTGGGTCGATTATTTCCGAATCGATGCTTTTTTTAACATCGCTCACCACTAGTCGGCAGTACACCCAGGCATAACTCCGTGTAGCATTCATCATCCACACCTTTCATTTACACTCTACACTTTTATTACACCTTACACTTTCACTGCACTTTTACACTTTTTTACATCTTTATACATTTGTAATAACTTCAATTCATTAATATACATAATGTTTTTAAGAAAAATCAATATTTCCATAACAACACATTCATTCATTTATTTGTTACATATTAATTCTTTTTGTTCTTTCGCTTTATACTTTCAATGAATAAACATTACTTTTTCAAAGATCTGGTGAATTTATTATAAGTCGCTACATTTTTGGTGACCCCGACGTGATATTAAAGCCGACGTGATATTAAAGCCGACGTGATATTAAAGCGACATATTAAAGCCGACGCATTTTAAAGGCTGATGCGGAATAAGTGCCAAGTGATCGTCGTATTTGAAGTCTGCGAAATATTATCATCGCTTGGAAGAATTGCTGGATATTCTGATTTAAGAGATTCATTCTTCGGATCTTTGAAACATCAGAGGCGGATTAGTCCTTCACGGAAATTCTCAAATCATTTTATCGGATTCCTGGAACAAGAGGAAAATGCCAATCGATAGATCACCAGTTAGACCCTGTTCGGATACACAGATTGATATGGATTGGCGAGCGGATCAAATCAGGTTGGATCAGAAAATATTAATATTTTACCTTCTCAAACTGGACATCAGGTGAGTGATCCTATGTTACAAATTCACTCAAATGAGTTTCGTTTATTAAAACTACCGACTTTCTGGCATAAACAACCTAAACTCTGGTTTGCTTCTATTGAAAGTGAGTTTACGGTTTATCGAATTCGATCAGATGATATTAAATATAGTTCTGTCATTCGTCATCTTGATGAACAAGCCTTAGTAAACATATCTGAAGTCATTGAAAATCCACCTAAAACAGATAAATATAATTATTTAAAGAAAATATTAATAAATCGCTTTACGGATTCAGAGGAAAAACGTTTGAGACAAATATTAGCTGGAATTGAACTTAATGATAAAAAGCCTTCGGAATTACTTCGAGAAATTCGTCATTTGTCTGGAGGATCTTTAGCAGATAGTGTTTTGCAAATGATTTGGCTTCAACGCTTACCACATAGAATTCAAACGACTTTAGCCGTAGTAGAGGATGTTCCTCTTGTTAAACTTGCGGAATTAGCCGATAAAATTGCTGATCGGGACGGCGGTTTGCAAGTCGCGGAAGTTTCCAATAATACAAGTAATAAATCTTCGGATTTCGCGGATTTGCTACGAAGAATCGAAGCTCTTGAAGTTTCTCGTCGTCGAGATCGTTCCAAAGCCGGTCTAGAGAGAATAGAAGATTTAGATCGTTATCGCGTAACAAAGACAAATCAAATAAAGATATTAAAGATACATCAATTTGTTTTTACCATAAGAAGTTTGGTGATAAGGCTAAACGATGTACTTTACCTTGTTCTATGTCCAAAACATTCTTGGCTTCACAGGAAAACTAAAAACGCCGCTTAAGACTGAGGCTGCTTACGACGGTGTTTCTAACAATCGCCTCATTATTTTCGACAGACATTCAAATTTGAATTTTCTTGTCGATACGGGCGCTGATATATCGTTGTTACCTAAAAAGGTTTTATTGAAGCCGTGGCATACTAATTTAAAACTTTTTGCCGCAAATGGTACTCAAATTAATACTTACGGTTCTAAAACTTTAATTTTGAACCTCGGTTTAAGGAGAGAATTCAAATGGAATTTTTGTGTCGCGGATATTCAACGTCCTATTTTAGGCGCCGATTTCCTTTGTCATTTTAATCTCCTAATGACATTAAAAACAAGAAATTGATTGATAATGTTACCGGTCTT